TGTTGGAATCATCATATTATGAGCTAAAATATGAATTATTCCCAATCATCTTTTCCATGTTTCTTTGTATTGGTTTTTTTAAGCGTCAGTTTTTTATAAAAAATTAAGGCATTATTTTTTGACTTCCTTTGGCACTTTCTCACATGTTCCAACATTTTTTATGTGTGCAAGTCATGTGATTTTTAAGTTTTTTAAAATCACCAGTAATTCACTTGTCAAAAAAAAATTATTTCACGTAAACATTTCTCTTTCTTGCACCTTCTCATTACATTTCAACTGGAGTTCTATATTTCCAAGTTGGTTCTTTTGTTTTTGCGCTACCTCTCATTCTAAAGCACCTATGCAAATGTTTCTTCAAACAAAAAGATCACTTAAAGCAAGAAGGCTGTTCATATTATTAACAACAAATCAATGCAACACAATCATTTACATGAAAATGTAAAGATAACACCGCCTTCTATCTTTCACATTAAAAGATAACACCGCCTTCTAACTTTCACATTAATGATTACAACAACAACAACAACAAAGCCTTAATCCCACTGTGTGGGGTCCGCTACATGAATCCTTTTTCTCCATTGCATCCTATTTAGCGTCATACTTTCATTAAGTTCTATTAGATTAAGATCATTTTTTTATACAATACACCCAAGTCTTTTTTATACAATACATACAATACACCCAAGTCTTCCTAGGTCTACCTATGCCTTTCTTAACATAAGTCGAATCTAAAACATCTACTCTTCTAATCGGATCATCAGATGATCGACACTTAATGTGACGAAACCATCTAAGACTACTTTCTCTAATTTTGTCCGTTTTGTGAGCTACACCAACCCTATCACAAATATATTCATTTCGCATTTTGTCTCTAAGTGTAAAGCCACTCTTCCACCTAATCATTCTCATCTCAGCTCATCGACCTAATCATTCTCATCTCAGCAACACTTAACTTAGTATTATGCTTCTCTTTTAAAAGCCAACATTCAGCGCCATAAAGCATTGCAGGTCTCAGCACCGTCTTATAAATTTTCCTTTCAGTCTAAGCGGTACTTTTCTATCACACAAAAGGCCCGAAGCATTCCTCCACTTCAACCAACCAACTTGAATTCTACTATTAACATCCCCATCTATATCACCATCGCTTTGAACAACAAATCCGAGATATCTAAATCGTTCACTCCTTTTAATAATTTGACCACCCAAATTTACACTTTTTTCACTAGAGATACTACTACTAAAATTACATTCAATGTATTCAATTTTAGTTCTACTCAAATGAAGGCCTTTAGACTCCAATGTAAACCTCCATAATTCAAGTTTTTT